AAGCATAAACATAGTTGTGGTGCTGAAAGAATACACAGTGCTGAAAGAATACACAGTGCTGAAAGTAGGGTTCCTGAAGGCCCATCTTGATAACCATCTTTCCCAGATATCTTTCAAGAGTCAGCAGCTTGTGGGGGTTGATACGAATTAGCTGAACTGGTGCCAGGCACCACTGTCATCTTTCCTGAGTTTGTTGGTTATGCAGTGTACAGTCATCAAACCTCAGTGGATGGCAAAGGGATCACAGAGTCTCCTGGGAAACCTGATAGAGGGAGGTCTGGTTGTCCCAAACCTGACTATTAGTGCACAGGCAAGTGACCCACACAAACTGTCATACACATCTGTAGGTAAACCCTTCTGTAACAGTTTAATTATTGCACGGACACAGTTTGTATGTATAAAACTGAATCATTTAATGGTTAGGACTTTTTGGTATATATAGGGTTTTGGGAAGGAGGGACAAACCTTCCATTCATAGCCGTGATTAAAAGTCCAAGAAACACAGGGAGATGCTTTTCATCAAACAAATAAGCAGGCATTTCTTTATCACAAATACAATGAGAGATGGGGCAAAACAAAGTCATAAAGAGATTTACCACAGCGTCTACAAGTCTGCTTAATTAATACATAATGCAAAAATTTCAGAGTGAATGTAAACAAACTTTCTTTGTCTTTAAATCCCATGCTTTCTTGCTGAGATCACTTCTTATTTCTGTTGTGTCATAAAGAATTTGTCCCACAATTTCCCCTTTTTTGTTTTCAAGCTGCAAAATTGAAGCTTGTATAAAACTTTAATTAATCATACGTTGTATACAGGATAATAAACAGGGAATACAAAGCATAATACAAAGGAATACAAACGGTCCCATTAATATTACTATAAATGCTTTCTTTAACCAAGGTCCTACACTAAACATATCAAGAAACTATTGAAACTATCTTAACTATCAAGAAACATATCAAGAAACTATTGAAACTGTCTTAACTCTTCTTCATCATCTTCAAGTTGAGCTGAAAGTTTCAACTTATCAATGCTTCGATGTATCGATTAAGAATTATCACTGAGATTCATACAACAAAGTCCTTCAAATTATTTACACCCATGTCCATAAGCTAATAACAAAAAATCAACAGCTGCTCTATTTTGCAAGGTTGTTTTTCTTACTGAGTCTACCTCGGTTAATAAGGCACCAATAGCTGAACTAGTAGCATTAGTTTCTTTTGCAAGCAAACAGGCAAGTCCATCTAAAGAAGTTAAAGCGTGTGCAGTCCCTATGCCTGATATGAGGCTGGCAAAAACTCTCTTTGCTGGGCCACAAAAGTAGACATTAGAATTACAGTCTGAAGCATATTGGTTCACAAATCGTTTGCTGCGTAAGGGTCTATCTGAGGGTAACTACCTGGGGTTAAACAGTGTTAGCTTTCCAAACATACAAGGCCCACCGTCTGCCTTACCAGGGATGCCTCTCCAGACTCATTGTCCACAAATCAAAAACAGTCCATCGAGCAAGCCAATTGGACATGGCTCATATTTAATGATAGTTGGGCTGGGTAGTTTATGCCAAAAGCTGTCATTTTGATAAGCTCCTGGAGAAGACACATCAACTGCCAGCAGATTTTCTGAATGCAGGTCAGTAGGGTAAAAATGAAAACAAAAGGGGGCAGTTAAGCTGCCCATTATATCTTATCCCTTGAGGTTTTATAGGGAGGGTAGGAAAATGATCTTTATACTCTCCCTTTGGCTGTTTCCCTCTTTGCCCTTTCGTATTTGTGTACTCTGCCAGGGGTGTATTGTAAGTGTCAAGGTAAGAACAATGAGACAAATATGAATTTAAAAAGGCCATCCATTGATCCTTGGAGAGTGGAAGGCCTACCAAGCACGTACGAAACGGATCTGATAGAGTAGCTACAGACAGGCATAACGTGTCAGTTCCAATCACATTGGCGAGGGTCACCCAGACGTTCCATTGGCTGGGGCTGGTCCGGTCAGAAGGGATTCCTGTCACTAGGAAGATGGTGTAAGATATGGCCACACAAAACGGAATGTCCTCTGTCTCTGGAAGTACAAGCGTAACCTTTTCCCCAGGTTATCAATGACCGAGGACCTGGCCAATGCCCTGTGCTCAGGTCTTTAAGCAACACTTCAGCTTTACCTTCCATCGGGTTGTGTGCTGGAACAATATGGCATTGAGCTGGGGCAGAGTCCCCAACTAAACAATTTTAAAAATTAAGTACATATAACGCTTTACTTAAACATTCTTGAGGAATCAACCCCGCACTCCCCCTAATTTGTTTTTGTAGCATTTCTTTGAGCATACAATGCACACGTTCAAGTACTGCTCGTCCAGTAGGGGAAAGTGGGATTCCTGTAACATGTTCAGTGCCCCACTGGGCAAAGAACTCACGGGTACAGGCAGATATATAGGAGGGTCCATTATCAGTTTTAACCTGGGAACACCCATATGAGCAAAGGCTGTAAGAAAATTGCGTTGAATACCACGACTCTTTTCACCAGAATGAGCTGCAGCAACTAAAAATACAGAGAAGATGTCAATAGAGACATGTACCCATTTCAGTCTGCCAAAAGATGGTACATGGGTAACATCTGTTTGCCACACTTGAAGTGGTTCTAGCTCTCGGGGATTAACTCCTTCTGGAGTTAAGGGGGTGATTTGTTGACAATCTGGGCAGGATGAAATGATAAAAAGGGCTTGGTCAAGTGTAAGGTTTTTCGAACTTTGCATTCTGGTGGAAAAAGTTGTGTGACAATTTAGCCTGTTCAAACAACTGGGGCACTATTATAGGTCATGCAAGCACGTTAGCACACCAGTTGCCTTCTGTCATTGGTCCGGGCAATGCGATGTGAGAACGCACACACACTGTAAAAAACAGAGACTGTCTTGTTATTAACCACAAACATTAGCCTTTGAAACAATGCAAATAGTGGTTTATTACTTATTTCTTTGAGATAGGAATGTTTAATGCATTGGACAATGCCAACCACATACTGAGAATCTGAAGCTATGTTAAGAGGGCCCTGAAACAATTTTAGGGCACGGACAACTGCAGAAAATTCCACAAGTTGTGGTGACCCAACTAAATTGGTGTATATCGTTTTGCCATACGCCATCCTTTTGCCATACCACTACGGCTCTTCCAGTGCGTCCAGAGCCATCAGTAAACACAGTTTGTGTATCTGATAAGGGGATTGGGGACCAATGAGACTTCAGCTTTAATGGCAAGTGGTTTAGTTGCTGTAGAAAAGCACAAGCAGGTAAGTGAATACTCAGTTGCCCATTATAATTGATTATGGCAGTCTGGAAATCCAAACTGGCTTTTTCTAGCCATTTCAAGCTTTCTGTTTTTAAAGGCAAGTTATACTGTGTGTAGATCACACCCCAAAGTTCCCAACATTAAAGCCGTCCTTTCCGGAGAATTTGTGAAATCATTTCTGCTTGAGTCATTACAGCTTCTGGAAACTGATGTGCTAGAAAGAGCCATTCCCACAAGCAAAAATCAGAATTGTTTTTTAACAGTTGACCCAAAAGTCCAAAAGGCTGAGCGAGTCCCATTAGGACAACTAAAACTGCTGGTTCATCTAGAAGGCGACGATTGCCTTGACAAGAGTTCAGTTCTTGTTCCAAAGCATGCACAGAAGTGGTTGCTTCTGGCATTAATTGTCGAGAAGCCTGGGCATTCCTTTAAGACGGTAAGCAACGTGTGCAGTTTATCTGTAGTAATGCATAACACTAGTCTGAGTCAATTAATAACTCTCAGTAATTTTTGCAGGTCATTAAGAGTTTGTACGGATGTTTCTAGGGAAACATGTGGTTGAATTGATGTTTGTGTTACTATCCACCCTAAATAATGCCAAGGAGCATCTTGCTGGATTTTCTCTGGTGCTATTTTTAGACCATAGGCAGTGACTGCTGCAATTATAGCTTTCAGCACTAGCTGTGTGAATTCTGTTGTAGCTGCACAGATCAAAATATCATCCAGGGTGGGTGCTCGTAAGGTGCTGGCTAGTACAAGTGGTTGGGCTGAAACTCGGGAGCACTTGCTGTCATCGCATGGGGTCCCGACGCACTCACCTTAAAGTTTCCCGACTGCTCTTTACCCCCTCCCTGTGGAGGAAGCGGTTTACCTTCTTGGGTAAATTCTGAGCGGCACTTTTTAGTATAATGAAAACCTTTGCGGTAGCGCAGGCATAAACCAGGCTGTCTGGTAGGTTTTTTGTTCGGACACTGCTTTCTAAAATGTCCAGGCTGACCACAGCCATAGCATAGCTGAGACGAAGAAGGTCCTTTTAAAGCAGATAATGCTTCGGCTAAAGCAGTCATTTCATGAGATTGTGAACCCACATTTTGACAGGCTCGAAGCATTTCCGAAATTGTGGGGTTCTGTAAGGCTCGTAATATTTTTTGGCAATCTATATTAGCATTCTTTATTGCAAAGTGTTCCAACAAAATCTCTCGTGCCGTACCATTCCCTACTTGTTTGTCAATTGCATCTTTTAAACGATCAGTGAATTCCATAAATGTTTCTCGCGGTCCCTGAAGAATAGTAACAAAAGACTGACGAGCCGTCCCAGCCTCCGGAACTTCGCGAAGAGCTCGAAAAGCTAGCCTTTTAGCTTCGTTCAGAACATGAATTGGCAGTTGGGCTTGCGCTGTCCGAGTGGCAAAGGGTCCTGTCCCCAGAAGCATTTCCATACTGATTATAGGCTGTGCTGTTAGATTATTTAGATTGTTTAGACTGGTTGCATTTTCTGCAGCAGCTCTCGCAGCCAAATATTCCCACTCAGTTTTAAAAATACTAAATTGCAGTGCAGTGAGAATCATTCTTGCAATTGCTTTGCAATCAAGTGGGATTAAAGTAAAGGAATCAAACACAATCTCTAACCGCCCCATTGTAAACGGAACAGTTAAGCCATGATCAGTGACTGACTTTTGCAATTCTTTCAGGACTTGGTATGGAATATTTTCCCAGCGGGGCGGATGAGGAAGATATTTCAGCATTTCTATGTCTCCTGCTGCAGCAGCCTCCTGCCTCACTTGTGCCCATCTATCATGAGGGTCAGGAAGATATAAACTGAGCTCCTTTTTAGAGTCAAAGGGATTGAAATCCCTTGAATTTTCATTAGGGCCCCGGGTGGTAGGGACTTTAGAGTTGTTCTGTGACAGGGGCGCAGAGGAGCCGCCGCTATTTTGGCACTCCCCCTCCCTATTTTGGCACTCCCCCTCCCTATTTTGGCACTCCCCCTCCCTCGCAGAGGGTACCGGTGGTATGGGAGGTGGGGCAAGCTCCTCCTCTGCTGCACTCTCTGGTGGTTGGCTGGAGTCATCGGTAATGACAGATTCAGAGGGTAACGACTTTTTAGCTGTGTGGGATTTTAAAGTCTGAAAGACTGCCCTCCAGGTTCCGAGAAGGCTGGCAGCCTGTTTGTCTCCCTTTGTCGCAGAGTCTGATAGCCTGACACCAATGAGATCCCATTCCACGTCATCAAAGACATTAGTAACATTCAACTCGGGATGATTCTGCAGTGCCCACAGGAGTAAATTTTGCAAAGAAGGGTCTTCTATTTCGAGCTCATGTTGTTTAAGCAGGCATTTCATCTGTTTGTAAACTGTCTTTTGTTCTGAGGACATTTTAGACCCCATTTCCTAAGCAGTCTTTTTGATGTGGGCAGCTATTTGCCAGCCGATTTGTTTCAGGGTTCTTAGTTTGGCCCCTGGGTGCTTAAAGCAGCCTTTGTTTCGATCTGAAGGCTCTCTTTTTGGCCTCCGGGCTTTTAAATCTGCCCTTATTCCACAATTGCTTACCTTTCCGTGCAGTGGAGAGGTACTATTTTAGCGCGCTTTCCGTTCCGTTCAATAGCGACTCGTTACTGGAGCAGGAGCCTTTGTCCTTGCCTTTATTCCAGTCCAGGCTTCATGTCCCTGTTCACAAGAACCATTTGTTTAATCATGGCATGGACATAGATTGCGTGTATAAAACTAAATCATTTAATGGTTACAACTTTTTGGTATATATAGGGTTTTGGGAAGGAGGGACAAACCTTCCATTCATAGCCAGGATTAAAGGTCCAGGAAACACAGGGAGATGCTTTTCATCAAACAGATAAGCAGGCATTTCTTTATCACAAATACAATGAGAGATGGGGCAAAACAAAGTCATAAAGAGATTTACCACAGCGTCTACAAGTCTGCTCAATTAATAGATAATGAGAGCATTTCAGGGAGTAAATGTAAACAGACTTTCCTTGTCTTTGTTTAAATCCAAAGGCTTCTTCCTGAGATCTCTTCTTATCTCTGCTGCGTCATAAAGAATTTGTCCCCCTAACACCTTTCCTGCTTTATCCCTCCTTCTACCACATGTTCTGCCCCTGTGCCTGCTCTGGCTCTCAGCCACCTCATGGGCACTAAGCCATGAAAGTACACCTGCCAAGACTGCAAAGAGTTTTCTACCCTTCAGTTCTTTGAATCAAATTGTTGTCAGGCAATTGTCAGTGAAGGTGTGAAGGAGGGGGAATGGGAACAGAAACAGGCTGAGGGAAGAACAAGCAAAGTGCAGAAAGGCAAAACAGTCTATACTGAGATTTGCTTGAACTGCTCGAGACAAGCTCTCTTAGAGGCTGTACCACTTTCCTGTCGCTCACTATTACCATGTACCTTTTTTTTCAAGTACATTAAAGCCTCCACCTAATGTAACTGTTTCCAAAATAAAAGGAACTGTATCATAACAAGCTGTTATAACCACTGATAAGTGTCCTCTGTAAAGCTTTTATTAAAGAAAAGCACAGAAAATATAAATTCTAATGCTTCTTTTCTATACAGGTACATTAGAAATGAGCAGGAAACCTTCAGGAGGGGTTAACTTTGTCACTGCAAGTACACCTACTGCAATATAAACCTGGATAAATTAGTGAGGACAACAGATTCCTCTGAGTTTGATAAGCTGATAACAGAAGACATCGGAGCTCTCATGTTTCAGGGGATGCTCAGTCCCTAGCTGAATTATTGTTGTTTTTTTCCAGAGCAGCCAGGGCCCTGTAAGTTTGGCTTCATGTGACAGCTAAAGCAAATATTCTTAACATGGGACAGGCATTTGTTTCAGGTAGAAACATTAAAAAAAAAAGAAAAGAAAACAAAGACACATAGAGTCTTGACAACACTGTAACAAAAGGAGCTTTTAAGAAACACCGAATTAATTACAGTGCAATTCCAAGTTTAAAGGTAGTTGCTTAATACAGTCCAATAGATACAAATCATGGCACGGCCCTAGAGGTTAAACACGTATGTTTGACCATACATTAATTTCAGCTGTGAACGACAGCCAAAATGTACAGGTTCAGAATATTTAGAGTCTTTGAAGAGTAAATAAAGTAGCTCAGGCTCTCACTCAGAAGAATGTAAAAAACAAATGTCCTTACTGGAGAGAGCTGCCAAACTCCCAGGCATTCCAATATTGTAACCAAGCAAGGAAATCTTCATATGGAGAAAGGTAGAAGAGCAATAAACTCAGACAGATATAGCAACAAGGTGTTCAAAAATCACTGAGATCCAGGGAGCTGGACAAAAGCCTCACTGATGCCATACCATTTAGATAAAAATAGGGAAATCAGAGTTTAATTTTTAGCAGTCCTTTTAGTTAATACTTCACAAATGCTGTTTTTCACTACTGTGTTTTATATGTCACCGAAAATTGTTTATGCTAATACACATTAAATTGTTATCTGTTGCAAAATAGATTACAAAAAACCCTAAAATGTCAGGTTAAAAAATTTACTTCTTTCTGTATAGGTGCTCTTTGGGCTAACTGTGTCTTCTAGCAAGAGTATCTCAAAGCAGTAAGAATAAGCATTCAAGATAATAGTTTTCTTCATGGATCTTCTTTTCTTAGCAGTACAGCAGATGAAGTAACAAGGAATCTGCCCAGAAGGTGAATTTCTATTAAAGGCTTCCTGCATTTTGGCAGTGGCTCACAGCATTGACATTCTCTCACAAAACACTCTCTATCAAGGAATCAGCATTTTTCTAGCGACAAGTCATTTAATAAGAAAATTCCTGACGTGGGCCAAGTACAATGCCTAAACAACCAAGATGCAGTTAGGAAGGTTAAAGAGGCATGCCAGAATGTAAGTTTATTGCCATCTGCAAAAATATCTGCAGCACATGGAAAGGATGGCAGCTCACTAGAGAAAACAAGAGGTTATTGTCTTTGCAGCCGCACAATTTAGTTCTTCCCCTCAGCCTCTAATGAGGCAGAACGTTTTCTGCATGTTCCAGAATCACTCTTCTGAAATGGGAACCCCACGCTTTCTGAGCTAAACAGCTACAGCCCTGCTGACACCAACACCTGCTTTAGCCAGTCATTAGTCAGCACACTATCAAACCTGCCCTGTAAAGGCACAATCACATCAAACCACAGCTTCACACCAGCGGACACATCCAATACGCTCACATGAAGAATTCATTTGTTTCACATCCACCGCAACCTGCTCTTATATTCCTCAGTGCTTAGCAAATAAATCATCATGCAATGCAAAGTATACTCCAGGCTGACGCTCAACATATCTACCCTCTGTGGTGAAAAGACTTCTGCGACTGTCAAATAAATTCTTTTTAGGACACTATCCTAAATTTCCATTAAGCTATAGGAAATAAAATATTCTATAATGTATTTCCAAACATATAATCATTTGTCCTCTGAGTGCCCCAGGTATGTTTACAAACTGGATTCAATGAAAATGCTGTGCAGGCTGGATAGTAAAGCAGCTCTGGTTAAAAGGTCTATTTCAGGGTTTAGGGCAATAATGGTCTAGTTTATAGAAGTGAGGAAGCAGAGGCCATAGAAAGGTAAGGGCTAACAGTGAAGCGTAATAAAAACTACAATTTCACTCAGTTGTTCTACGGGAACAATCTCTCTCATCCCCTCCTACTTTCCCCTGCTCCCTAGAAGGTCCCTGTTACAACTGCAGTTTATGTCAATCACTTCAAGGTAGAAAATTTTCCTTTCCATGGGCAAGTATGCAAACTACTCAGGTAAACTGGGACCATGAACAAACTGTCCTAAATACTTCAAGAAAAATAAAATAAAAAAAAAGTTTTAGAAAGAGAGGAGCTTCAGTTCACAATGGGAAGATGGATTTTTTTTATTTAAGGTAATAACACAAATCTGAGAGTTTCTGTTCCAGCTCTGCCACAGGCCTTTTTGTGACCCTGACCTGTGGTCTGAATGCATTCCCTCTTGAAGTCAACAGCAGTTTTGTCATTATCTTACAGGAATCAACATGATTTAAGAAATTTCACCAGTGCTTGTTGACCTCATAGCCGTCATGGAACAGCATGATGCAGATGCAGGCTTTGCTTGTGGCATTCAGCTGGTGCAGTGTAGCCTCTTGGCATGCAGAGATCCCAGCTGGGGATGAAAACAGCTCTACCCAGTGCCGTGCTGTGCCCATGCTAGTAATCTCTCCTTCTCAGCCTATCTACATAAGAGACATTTTGACACTATAATGAAGAGACTAAGTGAAAGACAGACACTTGACAACTGGACTTAGCAACTAGTCATTCCACAGGACTCACCTACTGCAATAAGCTACATTGCAAACTCCTGGATAATCTAAAACATCATTGCAGGAATTTATCCCATTTTTCCTTCCTTCTGTAGGAACTGCCAACCATTTTTATTTTGGGTGTGGGGACACTGAAATCACCAATATTTTACCTAACCTACTGAATTAAATTTCTACACACTTGATCTCATTGATCTTAGAGCTGAACAGCCTTCCCAATCTCACTACTGCCTCCCTTTGCTTTGCTTTAGAAGGGATATCTTCCAAACAAATTCTCTTAGTTGAAGAAAAACTTTTTTGATATATGTCTAGTACAGCCTAGAACATGGGTTTGAGCTATCTCCATAATTTTCGCAATTTACCTTCCCACTGGATTTCACCAAGTAGAAAGCGAAAAGCAGGGTTCCCATAGGGTAGGTAGCATGCAAATGACCATAATAAATAGAGATGCCTGGGTAAAATCTCCATTCTCATGCGATGAGTCTTCCAGCTGAGTTAATAAATTAGCTTTCTTAATTTCAATCAAACATATTTTTAAGAAAATCATGCAGCAGAAAAGTATTATAATCTTATAGCCAAGTGCTAAGCCATATAACTTTCCCAATCAAGTACTTTTTATCTGAGGCTGTTTTAACAGAAGGAGAATAATACAACTATGGGACCTGCAGTATTATTCAGGTTGATGTCTCTGACTTTCCAAATCATCTACATTAAGTTCCTTCACAGTCTCCTAAACCATAAAATGGATGCCATTATATTCCTCTACTCTCTCGAGTGCTTCAAATTTTGTGGAATTTCATTTGCAGTCACAGTTGGGAAATGACACTGGAATTTGCAGAAAATTTGTACCAGAAGATATGCTATGCAGCACGGGGACCTCTGGTTTTCAGTAAGATGTGCAGCAAGTCCGAAGAATATATTGTACAATATATCAAATGCATTTATCTACTTAATTTATTCTGTTCAAATGACACTTCCGGCTTCAACAGCATTTACACTGTTGCATGATAACAGTGCCCTAGGTCATGGAAGCTTGACTGGAAACTAAAATTTTTAATAAAAACATATTATGGTTTATGAATATTTTGAGGGATTTCATACTTGCTTCTGCTCCAGCAATAATGCTATTTTCTGTTCTGCAGGCCAAATGCTAGGAAGCTTTTTCCCCGTCTTGTTTTTAATAATACTTTTTCTGTGAGAGTTATGTTGGGTTCACGACCCTCTTGGCTTGTAGGAAGAGACTGTCCTGTCATCAGTCCTTCACTTCCCGCTGTGCAAGAGTGATGCGTGTGAGAGAGTGCTTCACTCCCCTCCTGCCTGGGAACCAGAGCATGGGGCCCCAAATGTCTCCCCAACTTGGCA